CATTCTTTGCATCTAGAGGAACATGTCACTTAGTTTTAGCTTATGAGATCGAGAGAGGTCTGTTGGGAGACCTCGCTCTCTTCCCCTAGCAAACCTCTTGCAACCACAAGAGGATGTCAAGAGAGTCTAGAACCTGCCCCACCTCCCAGACACTGGTGAGCGATGAGCTGCCTGTCTCCATGGCGCTCACTCAGAGACATCAAATGTCAGTGTGGGAGGCTGAATAATGTTTCCTAAAGACATCCACATGCTAACCCCAGGAACCTACAAATAAGTGACCTTACATGGGAAAAGGGACAGTGCGGATATGATTAAGTTAATAATCTTGAGATGAGGAGATTATCCTGGGTTCTCTGAGTAGGCCATAATGCCATCACAGAGGTCTTTGTAATAAGAGGCTTAAGACTTCACTCAGAAGAAGGTAATATGACCACTGAAGCCTGGAGCTTCCAGAAGGAACCAGCCCTGCCAATACCTTGGTTTTCAGCCCAGTGAGACCTATTTCAGATTTCAGACCTCCAAGACTAAGATAATAAATCTGTGTTGTTTTAAACCACTGAGTTTGTAGCAATATGTTACAGCTGTCCTAGGAAACACACAAGGGAAGCTCCCTAATTTGTGCCACCACGTGGAGTACCTGGGGATAGAGAAGGAAAGTGGCTCCACAGGAGGCAGCCAGAATGATTCAGTAAGAACTAAATCAGGTCCTGTCGCCCTCTGCTCAGAGCCCTTCCAGGCCTCCCACCTCTCTCTGAGTAAAGGCCACCATTCTCCCCAGCTTCATCAAGGGCCTCAAGGCCTCCTTCTCTTCTTCGCTAACTCCTGATCACATCCTTGGGGCAGACTAAGGGTGTTCCTGACTCAGGGCCTTTGCTCCTGTGGTTCCTTTGGCCCAGAGCCAGCGCTCTTCCCGGTTATATGCATGGCTTGTTCCCTCTCCTTCTGCAGGTCTCTGCTCAAATGTAACCTGATCAGAGAGACCCTCTCCCCAGTATGTTTTATTGTGCATCTGTCACGCACTGCCTGAGGGCAGGAGCTGTCTGCTGAGCTCTCTATTGTGTCCCCAGGCCCAAGAATAGTGCCTGTCACTTTGCAGGCATCCAGTAGTCGCCGGCTGACTAAATTATTAAATGAAGTACAGTGGTGAAAAGCAGGCTTCAAAAGCATTTTGAACCACGTGAAAGTAGCACCTGATCAAAACAGTAAGATTTTTTTGAAGGAGTACGTGTGAAAAGCAGGGACAAATGCCTGATGGGTCTGTGTGTGAGGAGTATCTATGGCCCCTAGGACGAGTACCTTCAGGGACCCACGGGCTGCACCTGGCTTGAAACAGCCCACAGGGCCGTCGAGCCGGGGAGGCAGGGAAAAGTAGGTGGCCATGGGGAAGGCTCCTGCCTGGAAGGAGGCCCCGAATTCTGAATCCCTCACGCGCCCATCTTTCTCTCTCCAACATCCATGCCTTCGCCTGCTAGCCTAAAATTTTCAATTAATTCACCCACATATTCATTCATTTCCTCCCTCCCCTCTCGAAAGAAAGTCCCCAAGCCCGCCGCCCAGAAGGCTCGCTGCCCAATGTCTAGGTGGAAGACAGGGTTCGTCCCTCGAGACTACATTTCCCAGACGGCCGCGTGGCCGCCGAAGGCTCCGATTGGCGCATTCGCGCGCGTCCCTGGCTGCGCGCGCAGCGGCCTCTCTCCGATCCCCTCCCCCCGCCCGGAGCCGAAAGAAAAGGCCCCCCGCCCCCGGAGCCTGGGCTCCCGGGCGGCCGAAAGCCCTCACCCCGGATCGCGACTCGGGCCGGCTGCTTCAGCTGGGCCGGTGGGACTGCGGCCCCTCCCCATCTCCTGCCTCACCGCGCCGCTTCCCGGAGGCGGCCGATCCCAACCTCCATCTCGTCGGCGGAGGCGGAAGGCGACGGGCGAGGGCCGGGATTGGAGGAGACCACATGGGGCCCGCCCCCGACGGCGTTCTAAGCCCTGCGCCCGGCGCTCCCGTGCCTGCCGGGAAATGTAGTTCAGCTACGAGGCCGCTGCGCGCAGAGTCCAGGCGGGGGCGCCCGAGGCTGTCTCTGCCCAAGGTTGGTTTTCTCGCCGCTTAATTTTTCTCTCCTATCTTTCCCGCCGCCTACTCTCTGTCTCTGCCTTTCCATCATCCTCCCTACCTCCTTCCCTTCCTGGCTCTGTCTCACTGTTTTCTCATTATCCCTGTCTGTTCCCCATCCCGGAGAACTGGTTCCCTTCAGACTGTCAAAATATAATTTTCAAAAAAGTTAAAAACAAACTCAGAACGTATCAAAGATTTATTTACCTCACGAAGGGAACTAGTAGGATAATGTAGATGGTTCCAGGAAGATGAGAGAGAAGGAACAATAGAGAGGGTGAAAGAAAAAACAAACACTGAAATAAAAGCGCAAAGTCGGATTACCGCCCTACAGGGCAGTGGGCAGGACCGGCGTCTTAGTGTCCTGCAGGGTACAACGCTAACCCTTGGGGCGCTCTTTTCTACCGGACAGAAAGCATTTGCAACCTATCAACCTTTTGCAAGTTAGCATCCAACCTCACAGTATCTGGACTCTAGTCAAAAGTAGCTAAGTCAAAAAGAGCTGCTTCGCTTAGGGAGTCAGATGGCCTGAAGCAGGCTTGGTAGAGACATGCTAGGGAACTCACCAAGGGCTCCCAGTCATCTTTTTTTGTCTTATTGTCAAGTTTTGGATAAGTTTTCCTAACAAGTCTCCCTCCAACTCTCTCTCTTCTTGCTGTCTGTCACCCTTCTCTGACTCTGAAAACTCTCAGTCCATCCTACTGTATCTCTAACTTCTGTCCCTTTCTCCCCTGTTGCCTGTACTCCTGTATCCTTGTCTGTCCCGTAATCTCGATATCTGCACTTCTTGTCTCTGTGAATCTATTCCCCTTCTCCCTCTTTGCCTCTCCTTTCATCTCCATCCCTTCCTGACCTCTCCCTCTTGCTAACTGTTCTGACACACCTGTCTCCCCGGCCCGGACTCTCTGACACTCTGGCTTCTTATCACACTCTCTAGGTCTCTGAGGGTAGAAATCCCTCTCCGGTGTCTTTCTTTTCTACCCGTGTCTCTGTCCCGTGTCTGTTCACGTACTTTCACTGTCTCTCCTCACATCCCTCTCTGCCCCAGAGTCTCTGCCCTCGAAGGCTTTGGGTCTCTCTCTGTCCCTGAGTCTCTGGGTCTGTCTGTCTTTCTCTCCGCACTGTCTCTCGCTCGGCATCTCTGCCCCAGTATCCTCCCCACGCCCTCACCCCACCTCTCCTATCGCCCTTCAGACCCGCGCCAGGTCCCCGGGGTTGCCGTGGAGACCTGGGTGTCCAACCGGTTACCATGGAGACGCCGGGGCCCTCCTGCCGCCTGTGAGCACACAGGGACGTCGCGCCGCGCACGCGCGGACGGAGGACCTGGCCGACTACACCTCCCAGAAAGCACCGGGCCGAACCTCTCTCCATTTGGCTGTCCGGGAGGGAGGTGGAGAAGGTGCCCCCCACCGCAGAGGTTGCCATGGAGACGCGGGCTGACGGCGTCCTAGCAAGGGCAGTGATTGGTGCAGAACCCTGCTAATCCCCGGAAGGCCCGTAGAGAATTGAGGGAAACGTGGTGGGGGGCATGCGCGTTTGGGAAGGCGGTGCTGCTGTCCGTTCACCCTTGAGAAGCTTGCGCACGTCGATGGGGGCCCGGAGGCCTGGACTGAGGCGGGGAGCGCGGGAAGAGGCGGCGGGAATGTGACCTGATCGTTGCGAACAACGCTACCCCGGGGAACAGAGGGAGGAGGGTGGAAACAGAGGCGAGGGTGGGGGAAGGGCGAGGAGGCGCTCTGGCTGGTGCGTGGAGCATTCTGGGAGACATAGTTCGGCTGGGGAGGGGAAGTTGGCGAGTGCGCATGCTCAGGAGCGCGGAGCGACCCGCTGAGCGCCGAGGTGAGGGGGGGGGGCGCCTCTCAACAGGGAAGGCTCGGGCGGGGACGAGGCAGCGGCTGCGTGCGTGGATTCCGGCTGTGCAGCGGGACCGGGATCGCGGGGCAGGGACCTGGGTACTCCTTGCAGGCAGGCCGGCTGCTGTCGCGCGAGGCTCGTCAATCACCGCGCATTGCCATGGTGACTGGTTCTGGGAGGGGAGCCCGCCCTCCGGTTGCTATGGCGGCACCAGGACCTGCCGGGGCTCCCTCCAGGGGAAGTTGCCTGCGAAGACTTGTGGTAAATGTAGTTCAGGAACGTCCGCAGGTGCCGGCCAGCTTGGCGAAGGCCCAGCTTTCTCCCAGGGTTTCAGGGTGACCTGGAATCTTGAGCAGAGGTTTGATTCGGGATCCGGCGGCCCTCGATATCGAATCCACTCCCTTAATACACTAGATTTCTTCATAAATCCCGCTCTTTATCCCTAGCTGTAGAAGGAGCAGCACGGGTGCCGAAGGGGGCGGTCATCCACATTTGCAGATGGGGAAACAGCTTTACAGAGGCACAGCGACCTGCCAAGTTTACATGGCAAATAAGCTGGATCAAAATCTCCGACCTTGCTTGCAGATTCCCAGTCCAGTGGTCTCAGGGCCTTTGTGGGCCCCCTGAAAGCTCCCCCATCACCTTCTAGCCCGATTTAAAATCAAGAAGCTGAAGAGATTATGGGACATTGTGTGGTGTGATAAGTTGGGCTCAGAGAATGGGGCTGAATGGGGGGAAGATGCTGCCTGAGGGCTGGGACACACAGATGACCTTGCACAGGTGGAGAATGGGGGAACAGGTGGAGGTAGGCTGCTCTCTAGAACCAGCTGGGAGGGAAATGGTCTGAAAGACTGGGTGGAAGAGTGGATGGTGCAATGATGGGCTGGTGTTGGGGGTGGGGAGTAGTGGTGCTGATATCCAGATGGTGGGTGTTGTAAGTGTCATTCACCTAGTAGGAGGAGATCTCCAGGGCAGGGATGAAATGGTTCATACAGAAAAAGGGCAGTATTTAGAGAAGAGAGAAAGTATCTTCTGGACTTAAAAAGCAGTCTGTGTTTGGAGCAGAGACTCTCCACAGGCCCAGCTAGAGAGGCCAGGGACACAGGTGGCTCTTCGAGGGCCTAACAGCCCCACAGGTCCCTGACATGTGAGCACCTTTCTGTGCCTCAGTTTCCTCACATGCATCTCACTGGTGGCAAGTCTGAGGATCAAACAGCACAGCGTACAGTAGGCACTCAGTAAGCATTTGCTGGCACTGTTTGTTCTCATCACAGCAACCTCATCCCGTTCCTCCCCGGGGCAGACACTGGCCTCAGAACCCCGGCCCGGTCATTACGATGAGGCCCACAGCACTGGGCTCCCCAGGCCATGCACCCCCGGAAGACGACGGACCTGTCATGGTGAAGCTGGAGGACTCTGAGGAGGAGGGTGAGGCTGTCCCGTGGGATCCCGGCCCAGAGGCTGCACGCCAGCGTTTCCGGCACTTTCGCTATGAGGAGACAATGGGTGCCCGAGAGGCCCTGGCCCGCCTCCGGGAGCTGTGCCGCCAGTGGCTGCAGCCAGAAGTGCACTCCAAGGAGCAGATGCTGGAGTTGCTGGTGCTGGAGCAGTTCTTGGGCACCCTGCCCCCTGAGATCCAGGCCCGCGTGCGGGGACAGTGGCCAGGCAGCCCTGAGGAGGCTGTGGCCCTGGTCGAGGGGCTGCGCCGGGAGCCGGGAGGACCCCGGAGATGGGTGAGTCAGTGGCCCTGAGCTGGGTCAGGGCTGGAACAGTATCCAGCTCTGCCTCACCTTAGGGCGTGCAGTGCTTGGCCAGACACCAGCCCCTTGGGTTTTCTAATTGGTTACTTGCAGTAGCCCTTGTGCACACGTAGACAGGGTTCCAGAGCTGGCCTCACTGGCCCACCTCTGCACCACTTGGAGCCATGGACACAGGAAGAGATGCAGGGTGGGAAAAGAGGGAGGGCACAGGGCAGCCGTGGGTGTCAGCAGCAGAGCAACTGCAGGTGGTCTCTTCACTCCCTGGTCAGTCCCTGGGGAAGGTGGGTCCTTGGAAGCCCTTGTCAGTCAGGACCCTGGGGTCCCACATGGGGTGGATGCCCAGGAACCCCTTGCTTGCACCCAGCCCACCTTCCTGCCTGGGCCCCTAATGGTTGGGGGGGGCGCCTCCCCAGGTCACAGTCCAAGTGCAGGGTCAGGAGGTGCTATCAGAGAAGATGGAGCCCTCTGACTTCCAGCCCCTCCCTCAAACCAAGCCTCGGACTCCAGAACCTGGGCCTGAGATGCCCCCTGGGGCCATGCAGGAGTCACCGCTGGGCCTTCAGGTGAAAGAGGAGCTCGAGGTTACAGAGGACCCAGGTAAGGGTGGGCAAGGTGGACAGGGCCCAAGGCCCGATTGGATGGGACCAGGGGAACTTGGCCTGAACAGCCTGCTGGATGGGACCCTTCCCGTGCAATGGCCTTGCACACCAAGCCTGACTCTCACAGATGTGTTTCCATGCTTTCCCCTGGCATGGAGCAGGCTGTTGGGGTTTCCATGTGTGGGAGGTATGTGGGCGCCACTGTTCAAGGAGATCCAGCGGAGGATATCAGCCCATTGCTGGGGAGCAGACAGCAGGCTGGAGTATGGGTGGGAGAACTCCACAGTGCTGAGCATATGCTTCTTTCATGTACGCCTCCAGGCACGTGCTACAGCTGACCGCCCACACTCTCTGCCCTTCCTATGCAGACCTTTGTGCAGTGACTCTCTCCCACCCTCACTGGCCGACCTACCCAGGGCTCAGGCAGAGGTGCAGGGCACTGACCTAGCCTCCCTTGTCCGGCTACAACTCCTCCCATGGCCTTCCAGGGTGCCCTGCTTTGCTCCACCCCTGAGCTGGGCCCTTAGAGCTGCTGGGCCGTGGCCAGCCCCAAACCTGCACCCAGGTCTCACCACACGTGGATCTCAGCGCCTAGCATACCACTTAGGAGGGCAGTGGGGTGGGGACATCCTTGGGCTGCCTGACCCCACCCTTCCTCTCCAGAGCTTCTGGATTCTGGGCCTCTAGCCAACCCCCAGGAGGCCACTTCCACTCTCCTGCCTGAGGAGGCCCAGGTGAGCCCCACACAAGCCATGCCCCCCTCCCTGCCCTGGGAGCCTCAGTGGGTGGGGGTCAGGTAGGTGCCTCCCTGGGCCTAGCTGGGCACACATGAGCAGTGACCACTGTGGTTTCAGGGCTGTAGGATGGCGCTGGACCAGGCCCCTCCCCAGTGTGAAACCAGGCCTGAGGGGCCCTCATGGAGGGAGCACCCTGGGGCCCTGTGGCAGGAGGAAGCCGGGAACATCTTCTCCCCAGGTGAGTGAGACAAGGTGTGGTAGGGCTGGGCCCTCTGCATGGACATCACCCATCCCACTCTTGGCCCTGCTTAGGTGGCCCTCTGGCTCCAGCATCCCCAAGCTCCCCCGTTCCTTGGACCATCCACTGCAGCATTCAGCCTGCTTCAGCATCTTCTATTCTCAAAAGCCAAGCCCTCCACTGACCTCATGGCCCCTCCAGCTGATGCTTCCCACCACAGTAAAACTTCCCAAGATGGCAGCCTGTGTTCCCCACACCCACGTCCTCTCCCAGATTCTGGGCTTGCGTCCCACTGATTGGGTGGCGGGGAAGGAAGGGTTGGGACCTGGCAAGGACAGCAGGTTAGTAGACAGGGTGGGCGGGCAGGAGTGACCTTGACAAAGGGTGGGGATCAGACAGGACAGAGCAGGATCCTGCCCAATTGTCCAGGGATCTCAGGCGAGAGGGCCCCCTACTGTCCACCTCAGCCACACCACCCTCGTTCTGCCATCCTCCACGCTCCCCATGTTCTCTTCCTCCCCGTTCCCCCTTCTTCCTTGGTTTATTTCCTTGTTCTTGTGGACCTTCCTATGAACTCTGGTGTGGGAGGTCAAGTGCTGAGACGTCATATATCTGAAGCACGTTTGTCTAACATTCAACATTAGACTGAAGTTTGGCTGGATAAGGAATTCTTTTTATTAATTTAGTCTCAAACCTTTTTTACTACTATTGTTGGTGAGCCCTTTCAATTTGAAATTCACATCTCTCAGTTGTGGGAAACTGGCTTGAATAGTTTCTTTGATGTCCTTCCCCTCCATTGTTCTGTTTTCTTGTTTCTGGAATGCCTGACACTTGCCTATTGGCCTCTGGGACAGGTCCTCTAATGTTTTTTTCACTCCGATTTCCCATCCCTTTCTGTCTGCTCTATTTTCCAGAAAACTTATTCAATTATATCTTCTAGAACTTCTGTTGAGATTTTCGTATCTGCTAGCATAGTTTTAATTTCCAAGAGTGTTTTCATTCCCTGAACATTCATTTTTGTAGCTGCTTCCTGTTGTTGTTACAGTTGTAACATCTTTCCTCATTTCTCTGAGGATAGCAATAACTTGTTTTTTAAGTTTTCTTCTCCCAGTGTAATCTCAGAGGGACCACAAATCTGGCAGCTCTGAGCAGGTGGGTGAGAGGCTTATCAGCCATGACAACAAACCAGGGCTGGGAGGAATGTGGGGGGTCACTACCCAAGAAGACTCACTTCTTGGGGGATGTGAGTGGGTGGGTGGAGTGAACGCTGCTGAAAGATCCATAGGGCAATGTGGCTGGGCCATTTGGGGGCACTCCTTGCTGTGAACATGTTCAGGTCTTTCCTCTGAGTCTTCCAAGAAGGCACTTCCAGCCTCTTGCAAGGAGAGAGGCTGGTGTCTTAGCACCTAGTGTGACTTCACTTAATCTCTTGACTTTCTCAGTATGGTCTCCCACCCTCAACCCAGCCTTTTGCCATGATGGGAGAAGAGATCCAGGAATCAGAGCTACAGCAGTGCTCACCATTTGCTCAGAATTCTGTGTAGACAGAGCCCAGAGGCTGTTCCGTGCAGTAGCCCTGCCCGGCTTCTGCTTCTGACACAGCCTACCCAGCCTGCTCAGTGCCCCTGCCCCTTCACCTGCATGACTAGAGGTACCTGGGACTTCCAAGTTCTGAACTTTTCAAGTCTTCTTTGAGATAAAATGAGTTGACTTTTTTCAGTTTTCCTCATTGCTGGCTTAGTATTCACCTTCAGTCTGCTACACAGTTACCATTTGCCCATCTGCTTTCCAGAGTAGAAAATGTCAGGCATTGGTTTGTTGGTTTGTTTGCTTTCTTCTTTTCATCTTTGTGGATTCTATGCCTTAAAAAAAAGAATATTGTGGTTTTCACTGTTGTTTCAGGATAAAAAAATTTAAGTAGATGCCATGGTTACTCAGAAGTCCTCATTTGTTATATTTTTTATCAGTAAGGATCCTAACTCATTCTTTTTTCATAATTTCCTTGTTTCATGGATGCTGATCCCTCCTTTGAGGGTTTAGAAATAATTTAGTGTCCTTTCCAGGCTGGTTATTTAGCTCGGTTTCCTCGGGTGTGAGTTCTCCTACTGGTTGCACTGTTGACAGCCTCCCCTTCAGAGCTCTAGGAGCTTCTTGTTTGTCCCTGCCCTAAGCATCATCCTAGGCGAGGACTTGCCACAGGGTCCACCATAACCCTGAAGTGGAAGGATCATCTGGCCCCCAGGCCATTCAGTGAAGATACTTCTGCAGCTAGCCAAAAGCAGGCAGCTTATTCCTGGCCAGGTCTGTGGGTGGACTAGGCTAACCCAGCCCACATCCTCAACCCCAAGCTTTACGACAGAGCCTGGCTCTGGTCCCCAGCTCTCCATAGTCTCAGGGCTTGAGAGCTTACTGTACCAGGCTCTGGATGCCTAAACCTCACCAACTGTAGTTTCTTGCTTTGGAGCTGCCCACGGTATTTTTAAACTTCTTTTTCTTATGTTCTGTCTGTCATTTCTGCATGTTGGAGCTGAAAGAGTAGGATCTGGCACATGCTCCTTCTGTTTTAGTTTTCAGCTGGCTGGCCAGGCTCGGCCCATGCTGTGTGGCTGAGGCTGACCACTCCCTCCAGCTTGGACCTGCTTCTCTCTCAGTTCACCAGCCCACAGTCTCTCGGCTTTCTCCAGCCACATAGCAGCACTCCCTCAGGCTCTTTGGCAGCTTCTTCCTCTGTAGACCTATTCTTTCCTCAGGCTGCACCTCCCATAGACAACCACAGCTCCCACCTTCAGACACTGGTCTCCCCATCAGGTCTCCTGGCTGCTTCCTTTGCCCCTCAACTGAACATCTTCTGTGCCGCCAGTGCTTTCATCATGAGACTATTTTGAATAGCTAATGCATTCACATGTTAGAAAAATTCAAAAGGCACGAGGGAGTAGTGGAATGCCCCTCCCTTGCCTATGTCACACAGTCCTGCTCCCCAACAGCCAACATTACCGGTTTCTTGTGTGTCCTTTCAGAAAGATTCTGTGCATGGAAGAGCAGACACAAATTCAGATGCATACTCATTTCCCTTCTTTAAAACACACGTGGATGCTTAATCTCCACCGTGTTACACACCTGACATTTTTCATGCATCTTCCCACTTCAACACACAGCAGCAAGTGCCCTCGTCTTTGTACCACTGCATAGAGCCCCACTGTAGCTCACTGTGGACATATTGTTTATCCATCCAGGCTCCTATTGAGATTCCTTTGGGTTGCTTGCTTTTTTTGTTTTTTCCCCCCCCCAAAGCCCCAGTAGATAGTTCTATGTCATAGCTGCACATCCTTCTAGTTGCTGCATGTGGGACGCAGCCTCAGCATGACCAGAGAAGTGGTGTGTCGGTGCGCACCCGGGATCCGAACCCCGGGCCACCAGCAACAGAGTACGCGCACTTAACCGCTAAGCCAGCGGGCCGGCCCTGGGTTGCTTTTAAGTGATATACTGAGAAACCTCATATGTAGGTCATTTCACACGAGGACACACAGCTGTGGGAGAAGTACCTAAAAGTGGAATTTCTGGATCAAAGTGTGGGAAGTTTGCCATTTTGATGTATTTTGCCACACTGGCTTCCCAGTTATGCTCACCGGCAATGCACACAAACACTTGGGACCCTGCAGTGAGGGTGTGGAAATGGTAGATGAGTACAGCTCTCATGTGCAGTTTTCTTATTAGGAGGAAACTGAGCATATTTTATGACATTTAAATGTTAGTTACATTTCCTTTCCTGTTCACATCCTTTGCCCGTGTTTGTCAGGTTGCTGGTCTTTCTTGTTGATTCATTGGAGCTCTTTTCTTAGAAGGTTAACTAGCTCTTTGCCTCTGGAGAGTTTCTCAGTTTATCATTGGTTTTTTGACACTGAGGTTGTTTTTGCTATGCACAAATGATTTCCTTTGATGTAATATAATCTATCTGACTTTTCTTTGTCGGCTAATGGATTTTCTGTCACCCACTGAAGCCCTTGCTACTCTCTGTCTCCTTGATTTAATTTCTTCTGGGCTTCTTCCTTCTCCCACCACTGCTTCTCAGTTGCCTTTGCTCACACCTCCTCCCTCACCCAGCATCTGATGCTGGAGTGCTCACAGCATGGCTGGGACTCGCTCCTTTTCTCCATAGACACCCACCCCTATTGGATCACATGCAAGCCCAGGGCTCCACGTGCCATGCCTATGCCACATCACCCATGTTCACATTTCCCTGCACACGGAGCCCCTGACTCCTGCACCTCACAGCCTGTATGCAGCCTCTGTCCCTCAGACACCCCATGGGCATCTCAAGCAAGGCATATCAGACCAAAGTCCTGGCACCTGCATTCCCTGCCTCCCTCACCTCCTCTATTCCCTTCTGTTGGCTCCACTTCCAGCATCCCTCAGACCCACTCACTTTTCTGCATTTGTGGAAACCATCATCACCCACCTGGACAGTGTAAGGGCCACCTGCCCCACTTTGCTCTACAGCCCTTCCAGAAAGGCAATTCTTGCAAACTTAAGTCAGAGCTAGAAAGCTTGTCCCCAGCTTGTCTGTCTTCCTCCTCATGCAAGGTTCTGTCCCATTGTCACCTCAGGGAAGCCTACACAGATAGAATCCCTGCCCCTGCCACCTCAGACTGCCTGGTTGGTCTGTTTCAGGAGGTCCCTCTAGTTCACACAGGTCCGCGCACACAGTGAGTTCTCTGTCACGAATGAGTGGATCTCCTTGTGCAATGCAGGGTTTGCGCTCCAGATGGACAGCATCTCTGCTGGCCTAGGCACTGTGAGCCCCCACCTCCACGTTCCTTGGGACCTCGGGGTGGCCGGCCTCACCAGCCGACTCCAGTCACCCTCCCGAGAAAGTAGCTTCTCGCACACGCTTGTGCTCCCCAATGACCCGGGAGGTGAGCAGAACCCCACGGGCCTGGATCCCCGCCAGGGCGTGGGTTCGGTGCTGGCCACCGCCCGCTGGCGCGCCCCCAGAGGTCGCAGCCGGGGCCGGGGCCGGCCCAGCACAGGCGCTGGGGCGGTGCGAGGCGGCCGCTGCGACGTGTGCGGGAAGGTGTTCAGCCAACGCAGCAACCTGCTGAGGCACCAGAAGATACACACGGGAGAGCGGCCGTTCGTGTGTGGCGAATGCGGCCGCAGCTTCAGCCGCAGCTCACACCTGCTGCGCCACCAGCTCACGCATACTGAGGAGCGTCCGTTCGTGTGCGGCGACTGCGGCCAGGGCTTCGTGCGCAGCGCACGCCTGGAGGAGCACCGGCGCGTGCACACCGGTGAGCAGCCCTTCCGCTGCACCGAGTGCGGCCAGAGCTTCCGGCAGCGCTCCAACCTGCTGCAGCACCAGCGCATCCATGGCGACCCCCCAGGTCCCGGCGCTGCGCCCCCCACACCCCGCGACGCGCCTGAGCCCCCAGGCCCCTTCCCGTGCAGCGAGTGCCGGGAGAGCTTCGCGCGGCGCGCCGTGCTGCTGGAGCACCAGGCCGTGCACACGGGCGACAAATCTTTCGGCTGCGTGGAGTGCGGCGAGCGCTTCGGCCGCCGCTCGGTGCTGCTGCAGCACCGGCGCGTACACAGTGGAGAGCGGCCCTTCGCCTGCGCCGAGTGCGGCCAGAGCTTCCGGCAGCGCTCCAACCTCACGCAGCACCGGCGCATCCACACGGGTGAGCGGCCCTTCTCCTGCGCCGAATGCGGCAAGGCCTTCCGCCAGCGGCCCACGCTCACGCAGCACTTGCGCGTGCACACGGGCGAGAAGCCCTTTGCCTGCCCCGAGTGCGGCCAGCGCTTCAGCCAGCGTCTCAAGCTCACGCGCCACCAGCGGACGCACACGGGTGAGAAGCCGTACCACTGCAGCGAGTGCGGCTTGGGCTTCACGCAAGTCTCACGGCTCACCGAGCACCAGCGCATCCACACGGGTGAGCGGCCCTTCGCCTGCCCTGAATGCGGCCAGAGCTTCCGGCAGCACGCCAACCTCACGCAGCACCGGCGCATCCACACGGGTGAGCGACCCTACGCGTGCCCCGAGTGCGGCAAGGCCTTCCGCCAGCGGCCCACGCTCACGCAGCACTTGCGCACCCACCGGCGCGAGAAGCCCTTCGCCTGCCAGGACTGTGGCCGCCGCTTCCACCAGAGCACCAAGCTCATCCAGCACCAGCGCGTCCACAGTGCAGAGTAGTTAGCGCTCACTAGACCCTTCTCTGCATCCACCTCGGTCCTCTGTGTGGGAGAGGGTAGAACACCTACCTCACAGGGTTGTTGTGAGGCCTGCGATCGCTTCGGTACAAGCAGGCCCGCCCAGGGTCTGACCCCCAGTAGGTGCTCAATAAACAGTAGACGGAACCTGGGTCTGGGTCTCTCCCCACTCAGTGCCTCCCCACTTGTGCGAGTCCCTCTCTGCTCACCTCACCCACCCACCACTTCCTCTGCAACAGTGTGGTTCCATGACTCTCCGCGGAGGTCGCTGCTAACAGCACCTGCCCTCGTCTGTGGGGTGCCCCCATGTACCAGGCCTCCTATACTATTGGCCCATCACGCTTTTCACTCACACATCCACGGGCCAAGCCAGCTGCCAGGCAAGGACCTGAACTGGCTGGCCCAGTTCTCCCCAGCCAGCAGAGATCATCAGATGCAGAAGTAGAAAATGTGCCCAGAAGGACAGAGCCGGGCTGGGGATGTGTGTTTGTAAAACTTTAAAGCTAAGAAGCCATTTCTTAGGTGTAAAAGCTGGTAGGTTTTATCTGGAAATCCAGATTCTTTATGACTTTTCCCCTCTTCCCGCATGTTTACCATCAGCAGGTGTTGAGGATGGGGGCCCATTTGGGCAGGACCCCAGCCAGTCTGGGAATTGAAGTTGGCCACAGGCCCCAGGCCAGTTCCCTAGCCCTCTAGTGATCATTCCCATCCCATGAGCCACAGTCTCCTCCCACCATGGCCCTGTGCACAGCCCCCAGGGCTCCCCTACACTGGGAAGTCTCCATCAGGAGTGTGTTCAGCAGCAAGTCACAAGAAACACAGCTGGCAGCAGCTTACATGAAAGTGGACAGGCACTGCCAGTGTGGGTTCAGCGTCCTGCAGACTTGGCTGGTATCTCTGGAACCCTCTAGCCTTTTCCTGTGCCATTGCCTCTTTTGCCCTATCTTCCCCTTCCATCACATTGCCCAGGCTCTTGACATAGCCCCTTACCCCACCAGTGGGTGTGCTGGGTGCTGGAAACATGTGGTGAAAGGCAGTGCCAAAGAAGGGATCTTCATGCAGCAGGGTCTGGCTTGAGACCTAAACCCCACTCTGGGTGGGTGTCAGCCTGGCCTTGGCCTGGGGGGTTCCAGGATCAGCCTTTGGAGGCCCATGTGTCCAAGCTTCTTCCAGAGGTGCAGCTGGACTTTGCTGCTTTGAGTCACTCTGACCTTCACAAGACTGGGGACCTGGTATCAGAGAAAGAAGAAAAACTAGCCTGGGCCAAGGCTTTCAATGGCCATACTAGAGAGGGTGTGCTCCCTGCTCCTCCCTTCCTCCCCTTCCCTCCTCTTCCCCTCTCTCCTCCTCCCTACTGGCCTAGCCCCAGCTAAGACCAGGAACAGTCTGCATCCACATCTGGCAAAGTTGGCAGCTCTTCATGCAGGGGCACTCCTGTGTGGCATAGTCAGGAGGGAAGGGTCTCCTGGGCCCTATAACAACACTCGCTGTTCCCTCCAACCACAAAAGAGACTCTGAGGACCCTGGTGTGGGATCTGCAGAATCAGAATGGAGAGGAAGGTGGTCAATGGGCCCCTAGGCAAAGGCTGGGTGAGTGAGATCAGGGAAGGCAGGCAAACAGTGAGGTAGCTAATGTTCTCGGATTGGAGGAACGTTGTCGAAACTTTATAAATCCTGTAACATGGATTTTTTACGAGGCTGTGTGACTTTTATAATTAGAAGAAAAGAGAACAAGAAAGCTTTCATCTTTTGATCATCTTGGTGGTGTGAAGAACGTGAAAGGAAATCTCTGCAGATACGACTACATAAAAAGGTGAAATTCTGCACAAGAAGAGTTACGACAAACATGAAAGACATGGAGAAAACAGGCCGAGGTCCCATGTCCAAAGCCACAAGAAGTTCATGGACCCATCTGCCGTACCAGCTCACGGAGAAGAAAGAAACATGAAAAGCAACATGAAAGCCCCCTATAAAAGGCCATTTCTGCAGCTGGCTGGGGACACCCCCGCAAGCCGGCCGTGTGGCCGCAGGTTGAGAACCCAAGTGCTACCATACTATCAGCAGGACTGAGGGCTTGGACAGAATGGCCATTCGGCCCCACTTGGCCAGAGCTATAAGAGGAACCCAAGAGAGGAACCCCCAAGACACTGGTCATCTGGGAAAGCTACAACAGTGCACAGCCAGCCTGTCCATGGATCGTCTGTACGTGAGGCCATATTGTTCGCTCCCAAGCCCAGCCTCCCCATGCCACATCCATCCAGTTATTTTCACCCCAACCCCAGCCTCACAAATCTGTCCACTTCTATCCACCCCCCAGCACTGCTCTGCTCCCAGACACCCATCTGCAGCCTAGAGGCCTACAGGAGTCAGTCTCCCTTCCCTACCTGCTCCTGCCCCTTCCTTCCCAAAATGGACCCTATCTTCCCAGTGTCAGCTCCCAGAAGCTACACTAACACCCCCAGGTGCACTTCTACCCTCATCCTTGCCCACCATGTTCTGCCCAGTGCCTCCAAGGCACTGGCCCCAGCTTCCCTCAGGGTCTTTGCACATGCCGAGCCCTGTGCTGCCTCCCAAGAGGCACCAGGAGCTACAGGCACCCTTGCCACCCAAACCACCTGTGCCCCTCTGCCACTTAGATGGCCATGAGGGTGACAAGGAAGACGTAGCTGCACCACTTTCCAGCCCCCTGCCTCAGTTCAGGCATCCCTCCTCCCTGGTCCAGACCCTATGACCCCCTTTTCCTAGCATTTTGTTGCATGGTTGAGTCTTCCCCACTGGACGGTGGGGAAGCCACGAGGTCAGAAGCCACACAAGTCCAGCTTTGGTCCAGCATCACCTGTCCAGGGAACCAATACCCCATCCCCAGATAGACCCCCAGGCTGGCCAATATGAAGCACCCCTGAGACTTTGGCTAGAAACAGCACGATAGTCATCAACCCTCATCTGGAGACTGCCTCTATGTCTCCAGAGCAAGAGCAGAGTGGCTGAGAAGAACAGAGAGGAAGGGATAGAGAAAGAGGGAGATTGAGTCTGGAGGTGCCCCCTAGTCCAGGACCAGCCACGTCTGAAGCCTGAGAACGCTGGGATGGTTGCAATCATGTCAGCCCCAAACCCTGAGCTGTTTGTGGCTTCTGAGCCCCCATCCTCACCCTGCCACCTCTCCAGCACTCAGCTCTCAAGGGAGTCAAGAAAGGATCCTGGGCATGAGAAGCTGGGACAATCAGAGGGCTGAAGGGGGTGTCTGGGATGGTGGCACTGAGAATGGAAGAGCCGAAAGGGGGAGCGGTTGCAGAGACACAGCTGGGATCATCCCACGGAGCCCAAGGACACCACGGGTACCCGGGCACACACCGGGGAGGGCCTCCGAGAAGGCTGGGACCGGGATCGACACCAGACCAAGGAAGGAAGAGGTGGAGGCGACTCCCTGAGGTGAGGTGAGGGGCGGGGCCGAGGAGGCGATGGGGCTGAGAGGGCGTCAGGGCCACTCCGCCGAGGTGAGGACCGAAGGCCCGGGCCGGGTCGACGGCTGAGAGGAGCCCATGAGCACCCTGCCCCATCCCAGCGCGGCCCCAAGAGGGACCACTTCTCCCACAGAGCTCCTGGAGGTGACGGCACGTCGCCTCAGGGATGGGAGGGGACGTGCCACGGGGGCCGCACTTGGACGCCTAAGGGCTGAGCGGCAGAGTCCTGGCAGCCCCCACCGGCGCGGCCTCCCGCCGCAGCAGGCCCTCGCGGCGCCGCTCACCGCCTGACGGCTTCCGTGGTGACAGCCGGAAGTCGCAGAACTGCCCCGCGCCCCTCCCTCCGGCCCTTCGAAGCACGCAGAGCTGTGATTGGAAAGAAGGCTGGGCCCGCCCACATCTGCCCGCGCGGACGGCGGAAGATCGTAGTGCGCCTCCGCTAGAACTCGGGACCCGCGCCAAGAGCGGTTCCGCCCCACGTCCCGTCTCCCAGGTGTCCACCCGTGTAAACCTCCTTGGTGCTTACCACTCTCTGGCACAATACATGCTTTATTTTGTAGTTGACCTCAACCAGAATCCCCGCGAGGGAGTTCTTTGGCTTTGCGATGGGACACCGAGGGTGCTCGACCCCGCACCCTCTGGACGACGCCCCCGGCCTCGCCCAGGCTCTAGCCTGCCGCGATCCCTCTGCCTCTGTCTGTCACCTCCGGGGTGGGCAAGGACCTCGTATGATCCAACCCCGCGGCGGTCTGCACACGTGAAAGTGCGAATGGCCGGACCGCGAACGAAGTGGCCAGCATTTGCCCCACTTAAAAATGGCGGCGGCGCCGCCCCCTTCCTGGACCCGCGAGAGTCCCCGGAAGTGACCGCGGGACGGCCTGTACGATCGGAAATACTCGAGCCCAGCCGAAGGAAACCGAACCCCAAGCCCCATCGCTGAGCAACGCGGGGCGGCGGCGGCGGCGGCGGCTGCGCAGGCGCAGAGCGCAGGCCGGGCAGGAAGAGCCGAAGCGGGCAGGCGGCGGAAATATCCGAAGCGGTGCGGCGCCCGAGGCCGTTGCAGACCGCCGCGCCGAAGCCGCTGCTGCCCCGGAAGCCGGGCCTCCACCACTACACGGCTGCCGCCTCCTCTTTCCATCTCGAGCCGCAACCCCCTTGCGGAGGGAGCGAGTGAGCGGGGAAGCGGCACGGCCCAAGAAGCCCGCGTCCGCAGCCTCAGCTGAGCCTGAGGAGACCTGAGCGGGCGAGGGGGAGGAGGGAGCGGCTGGTGGGGGCGGGGCCGAGCGACCCGAGAACAGCCGAGTCGGCCCGAGCGCCGCCGAGTGAGCCCGAGGCGCCGGGCCAGGCCGGAGCCGGACTACGGGAGCCGACGCGGGCCGCGCGGTG